TTTAGAGTAACAAGACTGCATAGTTTGTGAAACTTTATTTTTATTACGCTAATAAAATCCCGGCGAATTTTCCCATTATAGAGCTGTTACCCGGGTCAAACCTGGATTAAAAATTTTCAACCCGGGTTATGACCCGGGTCAATAGTCACATAGGTCAAACTTGATAATTTACAATTAAGTTGCAGTATATCGGTATATTTGCCTGAGGTTACCTTGAGATATAAATATTTAAATTGGAACATTGAGTTCTTTTCAATTCATTAAATTTATTCATTACTTGGTCAAAGCAATTTTTGACCTGTCAAGATGCTGACCCGTACGTACCACTGGAAGACAGATAGACCAGTGATCAGATTACGTACGTACGTATCTGTTATTTTTAATGCACTATCTGGAGTATTACATGAGCAATTATAAGTAAAGGTGTTTCTAGTTCTATTATGAGTATAAGGGTGGCGTAGATAGAAAGGTTGGTTATGAGAGAGATTAGAAAGGCTTATAAAATACTATTAAAATCAAAAGGCTTCTGTTTATAAATTTCTTAAAAACTCAAAATAGGTTTATACATTAACAACATGCAATATATATATTTAAAAAATAATATTCTATATAATGAGAACATTAAAAAATTTTTGAGAACATTAATACTTTAAATTTAGTTCGCTTGAGAACATTATTTTAAATCTGAATTTTAAACACTGACTGTAGTAAAGAAAATTCCACAGCCCGATCACTTCATTATAACGAGAGTAACTTTTATATTAATTATTAAAAATATCTTCAAAAAATAATCTAGCTTATATACTTCACCAAAAGCTCCCAAATTTTAAAAATAACTCATGTGCTTCGCCCAGATCTAAAATACTAAAATTAAGCTAGTAAATTGTAAATAATTTTAGCATTTACCACCGGTGGCGATATCACCACCCTTTATATAGTATAGGGTTAGGGTGCGGTTTTAAGACATATAGGAGTTTTTTATATAATATAATGTAGATTAGATATAAGGTCCTGATTTTAGTTCTTCTGAGGTTTTCAGGGGTCCTGAACATTTTTACTTAAAGTACCCGATCCCATTTACTTAGTACGTTATTTAGATATAGCATCCCCGGTGATATCACCACCGGCGATAAATAGCAATATTCTAATAATTAACGTTTTGGTTTTCGTAATTATTAAAATTTTGACACGAGACTATAAGAATGATTAGTCGAGTATATTAAATAAAGGAACGATAAAATTAATTATCTAGAATTCGAACTTGAATATGTTAAACTCAATTAAAACCAAGCTCAAAGCACGTATCTATCTCAGACAGACCCAAGCCTTGATCTGAAACCTGCCATTTATTCATGTTAAACTTTAGATTTCATTGAAGTATTACTATGTATATCTGAAGTTAAAAATAGATCTGAAATATATTTTTGAGTATTATAGTTGCTAGTGTTTGTAGTCGATTCGCATAGTCGATTTTTATCGACTTGGCTTAGTCAGCCGATTTTTCAAAGAATCGACTTAGTCTATATTATGCTAGATTATATCAAAGTTCAAATTCGATACATTACCTCTTTTAGTACATAGTACTAAGAGTAAGAGCCGAAAAATTCCGTAAAACGAGCAAGGTCGTGACAAAAATTTGATGAAATCACTGATAAATTCTGAAAGTAAAAAATATTTGTTGACTCTGACTTAGCCGGCTAAGCCGAATTTTAAATATCGACTTAATCAAGTCGATAAATAAAGATCGACTACAAACTCTAATATATAGTTGCGTAATTATTCAATTTAAAAATAAATAGAGATTGTGATCGGTGAATAAGTTCTTTTTATCAAACATTTCATCAATTAACAATTTTACAAAAATTCGAATTTATATAATAATTTGGCTCCATATCAAATATGTTATCTGTCTATCAATCTGATCGAATTTTTAATAACTTTAATATTTGAAAAAAAATCTCGAATTTATAATAAATGAATGCTCGAAATTCATTGACCTTAACTTCTATATAAAAATTTAAATTCATTATCATTATAAAAATTGATAATGTATTACGTAAATATTTGAGGAAAAAATTTAAAGTCTAATGAAAAAAAGTGAAATAATCAAGAAAAGAGAAATATAATTAATTAACTCTTTTTAAATAATAAAAATTTCATATGTCTAAATATTATCATTCATTAATTAGTATGTAATTTATCTCATGCATGTGATTTATAGAATAAAAGCCGAATTAAATAGAATTGCACCAATAATAATTGACCATAAGAAATGATCAAAATTGGAAGATTTTATAGCTAAAGATTTTTTACCAGCTGGTAATGATGTACTTTGCGATAATGAAGATGAAGGTGTTGATGGTGGAGTGCTTTGAGTTTTTGGATTGTTTAGTTGATTAATAGGAGCGTTTGTGTTTGTAGGTAAAGTATTTAAAGTATTAGTTGGAGTAGAACTAGAATTTGACGACACAGGTAGTGTGGTATTACTCTCTTTATAAAAGCTATCGGTACCCAAACAAGTGCCAACAGGCTTAATATTATAACCCGCGGTTGTAAGGATAGGAACTACTTTCGGACCTTGAGCAGCAGCACCAGAGTATAAATCATGTTCCAATGAAATGTGACCTGCTTTTCCTCCTTCTTTGACCCATTGAGTAAAGTTACCTTCAACCCAATTTAAATTGAATGACTTATCACCATCAGAAAGCCAATCATTTGTATCTCTATCCCAAATTACAATTTTATAACCAAGTTGATCGCATATACTACGTATTCTATCATCATAATCACCAAATGGTGGACGCATATATTTTGGTGTGACGCCAATCGCAGCCTTTATGACATCTGCAGTCCATTGCAACTCAGCAATTACTTGTTCAGTTGATTGGGTGGTAAGAGATGGATGAGACCATGTGTGTACGCCAATTTGATGACCTTTAATAAATGATAATGATAAATAATTTATGCAATTATGAAGAAAGTAAGGTGACAAAATTAAACTTACCACTTTTATATGCTCTTTGTAGGATATCAGGATTTTCAACTACCCGAGAGCCAACAACAAAGAAAGTAGCTTTGATATTATGAGCATCTAAAAAATCAAGGAGAGCTGGTGTATAAGGACTAGTAGAGACAAAAAAAAAATAAAAAATTTAAGAATAAATGCATTTTATTGAAATTAACCATGTAATTAAATAATTTTTTTTGTAGATAATAGTTACCTTGGACCATCGTCAAAAGTAAGACCCCAATCTAAATGATTAAAATAAATTATTATCTCGAAATAATTACTAATTTTTACGCACTACAAATAAAATTACTTACCTCCCGAATTTGGACATGTAATATAATCTGTTTGATTACGGATACAATTTGTACAACTCCAAGTACAGTATGGGTCACTGCCAGTGTTAGGACATGAGTCGCTTGAACTTCGAACTGCAGCATTTGGAACCTTTTTTAGATCTACAAGAGCTGTATAAGCTGATGATGTTGGTGGTGGTTTATCGAGTGGTGGCCAGCTTCCTGGAAGATTTGCACACTTTGATATTTGGATTAATAAATAGATAAATAAAAATTTGAATAAAATTGTATTATTAATAATGGAATTCATCTTGCTTTCTAAGTGATCTTGTACAAAATATTAAAAGAAATTTTATGTATTAAGTAAAAAAAAAAAAAAATACGTTTTTTTTTCGAGAAAAAAAAAAACAATAGAAAAAAAATATTATATTGACTTGAATCAAATGAAATGGAGAAACAGAATTTAACCATTCTTATATAAACTATTTCATATAGTGTATAAAATTTGAATTCTAGATTAAAAATTGAAGCTAACGATAATCTGGTAGTTTTTTTTGCTAAAATAGATTAATTTAATTTAAAAATTTCTATTTTCTGAAACACGGTTCCTGATCTTCATTTTTCAATATTGCAAAAAATTAAAATCAATACTACGATATACGTACGTAGAGTACGCACGTATGTACATACCTAAATAACAAATATTAATATATGTTTAAAATCAAAACAAAATTTGAAAATTAAGCATGTCATTAAGCATACTTTAAACATATATTTTATTTAATATGTTATCATATTACTATATTAGGGAAAATGTCATAACATTTAACGTTAAAATAAGTATATATAATTTATATTTTTTTTAAAAAATGGTTCTAGTTTTTACTAGTTGTACTACATACATATGCATTATCTATAATTATAATTCTAGCGAGTATGTTAGGCCCATCGTTAAACGATGGGCTAATATAAGAAATTGGTATCGCAAAGAGAAACCTGTCATTGGATTTCACGCTTATTGGTTACCCGAGCTTAAAGATTGTATTCTGTATAATCCCGGAGATTTTAATATGTAGATTATAATAATATAATGAAAAAGAGAATTTTTTCTTGTTCACCATTAAATACCACTAAATACATTGAATTTTTTGAATTTCGATTAAAATTTTCGAGGATTGTCAAATAGCATACATAATTGATAAGACTCTTGATGAAATATTTATTACTAAGCATTTTTATGGTATAGATTAGATTTATTGTGAATATAGATAATGAATGAAAATCAACACCTCCTATCTTAAAAAACGTAATAAAAGATATTCTAAAAATAGTAAATTTTACGGTATTCGTTTTTTTTTTTTTATTAGCAAACGTTAATATAATTTTTTTTTACTTAACAAATATGACCTTTATTTACCACAAAATATAATCCTGAACATCATAAACAAGTAAAATTTAAGGGATAACTTAAAACTAACCAAGAAAATAGTAATCACTTGAGCGTTCCTATAATCTTTAAAACAGTAACATTAAAAAAAAACCACATCTATCCTACTTGAGAACCTATTAATTTTATAGATATTAATGATCTAACTTTTTATTATAAATAGAATTTGTTGTACAAAACAATGCGTAACATTAGTATTACATGTAAGATATATATCAAATGCATTAATGACAATAATTAATATATATTATGATATATGTGTTTGGAAAGTTATTTGCTGAGGTATGTACGTACGACCCTGAAGAATTTGATCAAATTATGAAAGTATACAATCGACAATAGGTTATGCGTATGAAAATTATATTAACTGTTTAAGTTTTTTGATAATACGTACGATTAGCATAATTTTATAAATTCAATTTTATAATCAACCCTTTTTTAATGTTTAGGGTTAGGTGTTGCCATTTTCGTGTTGTGGTAAGGACAGGTTATGAGAAAAATAGCTTACTTGAAAATTTTTTTTCTTTAACCGATATATAGTATTATTATTTCTACATGTCTTACGTTTCGTATTGTACTAGTTTACTAAACATTTTCTGATCAAAAATAACTTTCTGATTTAAACATGACTTTTTGATCAAAACATGACTTTTTGATCAAAACATGACTTTTTGATCAAAATACTTTCTGATCAAAATATGATATTACTATATAGCCAAATATTTAACGTCAAATTATTATATTTCTAAATATGTAAATACATCAATTTAATCGACAGATATTCAGGGTTGATCAAGTACGTACGTACGCACATGAAGAGCAGAAGAATACATTATTTTAGTCTTACAGATAATTCAGGGGTTGATCAAGTACGTACGTACGCAGAAGAATACTTTATTTTAGTCTTACAGATTTTTATTCGTCAACTATCATGTATTATTATGGCTTCAGGGGTCATATGTTGACGATGTTAGAATAAGATAATAAAGGAGGTCCACTTAACAGCAGTAAGAATTAAAATGATGTACCAGAATAATTATATTTATATTGGGTTATCAATTAGGAGAACAAGATTGCCTGCTGCAAATATATATTTCCGTCCTTAAAAAATTTAAAAATACTATTAAGGTCTATATTTCCTATAGACTAAAAAAAGAACAATTAATTTTTAAAGTAGTCATGACAAGATCGGCATTCGGTATATCGGGAAAATATTTATCAAGTGAATACTTTCACCCAATAGATAACATTAAAAACCAACAACTTTTTGCCCAACAAGATGACATCGATTTATTTGTATGTCAAGATAGAATTTCGGTGTGAATTTTAATATTAACCGCTTTTATATTGCACGAAATAAATTATATTTTTGCCAAGCAAAAAATATGTATGAAATTAATAAAATAATCTTCATATAGTAGAATTTTATCTCATGTTTTTGCCAAGCTTTATTACTGATATCCAATTATGATACGAAACCCTTGACTAAGCTCTTGACTATTAACGAAACTCTTGAAGAAGGATTCCTTCAACTAATAAAATATTAAATTTTCCATTCGACTCTTTCAACGAGCTTCCTTAATTTATTATTATTTTTTTTAATACGTAGTAATCTACCAAATTTTCAGTTCATTACAAAAAAATAAAAATAAAATAAAATAAAAACCGATTTTTCATAAATTAACTAGTCCGTATGATAGTTTGTGTGTCAAAAAAAATTAGAATATGTATAGCTAAGATTATGCAAACAAACAAACAAATAAATAAATAAAAAAAATAACATCACATTGCATGAACTGATTTATTACATAAGAAAAAGCATAATTCGCCATAGATTTCGTTATTAATCGTAATACAAAGAAAAAACTTGTAGACTCTAATTCTCTTAAACAAGAACGCCTCATTAGTTTTTTTATTTTCTATTTCATTATCACGAGCTGCTTTCGCACAAAACCCAGTGACCATGAATAGAGGTCCAATCCGGATAATCCGTCATCCATTTATCCATATCTGAATTTATCCGGATATCCATTTTATCCATTTACTATTGGTATCCAGATAATCCGACAAATATTCGGATAATTATCCGGATATCAATAGTAAACCGGATATCCGAATAAATTCAGATCTGGATATCCAATAGATAAATGGATAAACGGATAATGGATAGGAACTCTAACCATGAATTGAATTACGCCTAAATTTGGACGAGTAAAAATTTTAATTTTCCATCCGCTGAAATTTATTTAGTTTGTCCCAGTAAATCATGTGGAAGTTTAGATACAATGTGTAGATGTCTACTGTAAAATATCGGAAATTTTCATTCATTTATCGAATTTTATTCACTGCTAGAAAAAAAAATCGGTTAACTGTTTAGCCAATCTAGTTGGTAACTAATTGATTGACTATACTAGAAAAGCAGTAAACGAATACAATCGCTCCCTAAGTGCACACTTCCTCAGTGCACGGTATATGAAAACTCCTCTAAGTGCACACTTCCTCAGTGCACGGTATATGAAAACTCCTCTAAGTGCACACCCTTTTTGGTTTCAAATAATACAACGATTATAAATTTTGACCCCTCTAAATGCACACCCTTTCTAAGTGCACATTTTGCTTTTTTTACTATGGTTCCGAGGGAGTGCTCTTAGAGGAGAATATCTTTATTGATTTTATTTTCTAATTTTAGCAAAAGTTATGATAAGTTACAATCAATTGCAACTTTTATTGCAACTATTTTTGATTAAGAGTTGCAACTAGGGTTGATGGTGTAGTTACAATCCTAGTGGTGCACCTCATATATACCAACAAGATCTTCTGGTGCACCATTATACTACACATATTGCCTGCTTCATAATATCTATATTTTGTTTTACCTTACTTCCACTTTTTAGCTTGTCTAATCGCGTATTTTGATTGTTCACTGTCTACATCGGGAACTTTCGGATTCAATTAACTAATATTATATTTCTTACAGTTAAACTATTGCGATAAGTTACCTTTAGTAGTTGAGCTAAAACCTATCCTTCAAAAGTTATCTGAAAAGTCAACGCACGTGCTTATGTCATATTGCACATACGTACAGCTCCCTTATATAAATAAATTTAAATATGATTGGTTCGTCACCTCTGCACCATACCTGTGTTGACGTGCCAACTGGTAACCAATTTGGTGCGCCATTGGCGTCGCCAAGTACTCTGCACCACCAACTCTAGTTGCAACCAATTCTGTCTAAAGTTGCTAATTAAGAGTTGCAATTAATTCAAATAAATTTATTAAGACCAAAATCAAATCAATTAAATAACTAAAAATAAAATCAATAAGGATAAACTCATGAATAGCTGTTTTCGATTTAGTTAGATCGACGATCTACATTATTTTTATTTTTTTTTATTTTTTTGAGTACCGCGAGTCCTGTGATTACAATAAGGGAGTCACTACAAAATACGACGAATTCACGAAACTTAAAAAAATTATGTAGATCGTAGATCCAATTAAATCGAAATCAGCGAAACATAATTAGATATGTGCACTAAAACCAGGATCGTAGGGTATTTTTGCTGATGATCTACCCAATTAATTAAACAGGTTAATTCTAACCTAAATTGGGCCAAATTTATCGGCAAAAATAGTTGTACCGAAATTATCATTGCTGAAGTTGGTTTATACCAATATATTATAATTTATATATAATTTTTATAAAAATAGTTGCACGAATATGATGTTGTGCGGAACTAGTAAGTATAGTATGGTTCACTTTTGCTGGATAAAATTTCAAACTATCTATGTTCTAAAAGCCTATTTAGACACATTTATATAAAAATAAAATGAAAATTATAATGCACAATAACACTATGAACATCAATCCCTTATTTCAATATACAAGTTATACTCATTAAAAACTTTACTACAAATAATTTCACTATATTTTTTGTCTGGTACGTTTCATAGTCACTAAATGCTATCCATTTTCTTACCTCCTCTTAATTACTGTCATGACTGCTCATACTTTTTTAATCTGCACCATTGATTCTTCAAATTGATCTTCCAACTAGTTTTGTTATCTTCAAATTTATTCTTGACCATTGACTTTACATAACCTTACCCGGATTAACAGTCAGTTAGATTTCTTGTATATCCGGGTAAACAAATAAAATCACAGATAATGTGCAACTCATGCATTTAATTAATTTAATCAAAGTTAGGATCACTGTTATGCAATTAATCTAGAATCAAGCAACTCTTGAACATATTCCGGGTTGGCGGTGCATTAATCATTCAAAGTAATTTATGCCAATTAATTATAATTTTATTTTCAATTGAAAAGTACAATTTTTTTGTTCTTTTGTTTATAGCATTGTTACTCGGGTAATTACCTGGTTAATCTACCCGGATAGGTTTACCCAGGTAACAAATATCTTAACTGGATATCCGTTGTATCCACCGGTTACCTGGATAGCCTTTACCCGGTCCAACCCTTAACTTTACACTAATCGAGCAAGCGTCTATGTCTACGCCCTTTTGACGGTTATCTTCAAGACATTCAGGTACTTTCTTATTATAATACTCATCTCAATTTAATTAAAATGCTGTCACTTCATTCTCGGCTGTGTTTGTGCAACTTCAAATACAGTATCCAAGATTGTATTAACATAGGATGTCACATTTTAGATCGTTTGTATTAGCTTTCAATGCCTTATTAAAATCGCAAGTTCTATTCTGTCTTGTCCACTACTGAGGTAATTTAACTTCTGATTCCTTATGCCGACTCTTTCTAATTCTTATGCATCTTTTTGTTCAATTTATAATGACTTACCTCAAGTGATTCTCCGAATATATCTGTGTTTTCTCTCGATTATATAATGTGTATGCTTTGTGTTCATAATCAACCCCTCCCTCATGATGATTACGGCATTAACATTACCGTATATGTTCCTTTTGACGAGTCCCAATTCGATAAAATCAGCTACGATTTATATTTCTGTAAGTTTCACTGGTTCTATAGCATCATCTATTCTGTTATGAGAATAGGAAACTTCATAATTGCACTGTATTTTACTGCATTTTCTGTTAGCATTACATCACAATGACATGTTTATACGGCATGCAAAAACCTTAAATCTTTCTAAAAATGAATTCAGTACCTATTTTCACGTTATTTAAAAGAATGACCTGAATTAAACATGATTTAGGCTAAAATTCGAATTACATCCCTAGGTGTTATTTCGCAACAATATAGTAAACAAAAATTATTACGTACTCATAATAAAAGAATTTTGCGAAAATTAGAATAGAGATTGTACCCGTTAGGAAAACCTTTACCTTGGTATTATTAAATTACCCAGGTTATCCGGATAAATTACTATAACACTTAATAGTAATTTCTACCGCATACATTCTTTAAATTAGCATAATGCTAATAATAATAAACATCAAAAAAGTTAACCAAAAATCTTTTACATTTCAATTTACGCACTAATATGATAATACCGGTACAAGAATTGAGATCATTATATCATAAAGTCATAATATTACATAGTAGAATCATATATTTCTGGTATTACTAAGTCCCGTATTTCCACACACTCTTTGAGCATTCACCTTTATGATCGAATACATATCCTGTTATCTTTAAAAGAGAACTTATAACATGGAGCTGAAAGTCATATCATTCCTGATACGTATGTATATGTAGTACCTGTTGCATGTACAACACATCCGAAAAGTCATGAATTATCACTGTTTGCAAAATGTGTATAATATTGTTTTTTGCAGATCGCAGCTCACATGTACATTCACTTGATTGTCGTACGATTGTGTGATTATTCGATTGCAAAGTAATTCTCTTAATAAAAATTCAATGCAAATAA